TGTAATCTGGTTTACCCCTGTATTCGCTTGATGAACTTTGATGAAGCACGAGAGTCGCTCATGCCTCGTTGAGCATAAATCCAATCACTGAAATATCTTTTTACAGACTTATCATGCGGTTAACGATGGCTATAGCGTCACCCTCGATAATCACTCGATTCCATCCATTCTCGTTCGCCGTTAGTAATCCTTCCAGGAAAACTATATATATAACCCATGAGGCTGAGTGGTATAGCACTTTGATGGTATGCTTTTCCTCGTAAATTTTCTAACTTCCGTGGTCAAACAAATTAAAAGTTTAAATACTAAAACAGATTAAAGCTGATAATTTAAATACTAAACATATAATTTATCCTTTATTATATTCTAATTAAGTAATCATGAATGATATGTTTAATACCAAGTTGTCATTAAAGATGAATAATATAAATAATGTCATGCTCTTTAAAATTAATTTTTTAATGTAATTTACATATATAAATTTCATAAATTCACGTTCTTAAATTTATTTTTAGGTTCATATACTATTAATATATGTCAATCACATTCTTTCATTAATAAAACTGTTAAAAATTCATCAAGTGTCATGTAAATACTCATACATATTATACATAATATATGCTGACATGAATGTTCATGTAAATACTCATACATATTATACATAATATATGCTGACATGAATGTTAGAATAAACTAATAATTAATTTATAGATTTTGAAATTATTATTAAAGAATGATTTGAATACATTTTTATCAGTTCACTTGATCGATTATTTGTAATCATGATCATTATTAAATTTTGTAATATTAATAATAATGTCTTTTTACATTCCAGGTCCCTCACACCATTTTTTTTTTATAAAAATGTTCCTTTTTTTAAGGCAAGAGCCAGATTCCAGCTCAAAAAACACCCCTCCAAATCCTATTCTCCTTTACTCATTTCACGACCATCTCGTCTCCTCCTCCGTTTCTTCCCATTACTTTTCTACTCGGACACCTTCAGTAGTTCAATGTCACTCTCTCCGGATCCGGCCCTTTGAAAAGAAGCAGCAAAACCCCATTTCGCTATACTCGTTGAAGCATTGGAAATTCAAAAGGAAAAAGATAAACATGGGTGGTTTGAGAGTCATGGTGTTTCTGTAAAGGAGTTAGCAAGTCAGAAAGAATGAAGGGCACCGTATTCTCAAGTAAAGCTCCGGCAATGGCCAGAATCACCGGCGCCTCCGGTGATGGAGTCTCGGTTGCTGGATTCCTCATCCACCGGAATCTTCTCTTAACTACTCTCGTTAACCTCCCTTCTGTGGCTGCTGCCGAGAGCTCCGAGATCCGGCTCCAAAACGGTGTTGCTGCCACTCTCGTTCCTCACAGGTAATTTTCCGCTTTTCTTTTTCCGGTTTGTAATAGGAAAAATGAGGGATTTGGTTCCATACCATACTATCATGAAAATGCCATTGAATTATGGTTAGTTTATTAAAGAAACGTGGGTCCAAGATTGATAGTTGGAGAAGTGTTTTTCATACTTTGTAGAATTCTCAGCTTTGAGATTTGATTGAGGTAATTAATTTGGCCTCACCTTTTCTGCTTATATATCAGTACATGGCAGAACTTTTAACTGTAAAGATTACATTAAAATAATATTCTTCATAATTTAAGCTTGTTTTTTCTTCCTTTTTTGTTGACATTTCACCGTCATGAATTTACTATGAACGCCCACATAACTGCAATGTGTACTTCATTTTTTACCTAGAAGTTAAATTACATTAAATCTTCAAAGGTTCATACTTCATACTTAGTATTTCACCTAAACTCGAGTATCATCTTTCTTAAGAGAAGTTCTTTGGATGAAGATGAAATATGGTATATTCTCAAAAACAGTTTATATACAAGATAATTTAACTTTGCCTATATGGCATGAGAGGGGTTTAATTTAATTTTCGTTGTTAAGTTAGTTTAATACAAGGGCACTTACCTGTTACATAAGTGCAGCAGAGGAACATGCTAGAGTCATAATAACTTCAATAGTTGATCATACAGGTTTGAATTGTGTAGCAAACCAGCAGGCAGTAGCATTATTAGGCGTTGCTCTCTCAACTGAATCATGAATCTTTACTCTTTTTGTTTTCCAGATGTGTCGCACATGACATAACAATATCCTTTGATTTGTTCACAAATATGATAGATAATATGTAAAAATGTATTTTGCTAACTAATATGTATTACTAATATTCAGTAATGACATTTTTTTTCAACAGTAGAAATAGAAACGTATTTATACAGTCGTCTGTGCTTATATATTGTTCATTAGCATTTTCGTTGTCTTAGTACATCGGTGATATTCATAATTTATCAATCACAGCTAAAAAAATTGATGTTTAATGTGATAAATTGGATTTCTTGTAGATAGTTACCCTCTTTAGTTTTGACCCTTTTGTTAGGATTGAAGTGGGAAGTCCTCCTCCTACCTCTCAACCTAACCATTGATGCAACCCTGACATTGTAATATTTCCTTTGCATATGCTGGTCTTGCCTTTCAAATTCAACCCATTGTCCCTTTATTGAAGGCAAGTGCTTACCTTTGGAAGTCAAAAAGTAGAGGTGGCTATAGGTGGGAAAATAGTCTGATCCCTGCTGTTTAAATGACTTGCGCTAGCCAGTTGATGTTGTTCTGGTTGATCTCTAGGTTGGCCCATTTTTGTGGTTTAATAGCTTCATGATTGATTTTCCTTCTGTGATTTACTGGTGTAATGCATATGCTAAGAAAAACAGGTGGTAGTTCTCCTGAAAATTTTCTTTGTAAGTCCTTTTTTAGCAACACCCCAAATTTTAATTCATGGTCATCATTCTGATTGCAGGTTTTTCATTACCATCTCCGTTTTAGATCAAACAACAGTGGTTTTAGATGCACCGGATGGAGAATCAAATACCCAGGGGCACCAACCTCATTACTTGAAGACGTATTCTAAACCATGTTTATATCTAGGAAGTGATGTTTACCTTCTAGGTTACACCGAGAAACAAGAAGTAACAATAGGTGAAGGAAAGGTGGTGATTGCCACAGACAACCTCATAAAAGTGTCAACCGATGGAATTATATGGAACCCTGGCTCGTCCGGATTTGATTCTCATGCGAACCTTGCATTTATGATCTGTGATCCTATGAAGCTAGCTACCTCTCCTAATATCAAGTTGTCCATGACTTCTTCCTCATCCTTGTCATCATGTAAGAAAGATACTCCTATGCAATTCGGTATTCCCATTCCCATCATTTGTGACTGGTTAAACCAGCACTGGGAAGGTAGTCTTGATGAAGTTAACAAACCCAAGCTACCCATTATTAGGTTGATGTCTTCGGTCCAGAAGAGTGAGCATTCTTCTGCATCCTTCACAATGCGCCATGTTTTTAAATCAACTGGAGATGATAGTGACATAACTCCATCTTCATCAAATATCATCATAAAAGTTAAGGATCAACCAGGGCCAAGCAGTTCGGCTGCGGTGAACACTATTGAAAAAGAGACGTGTTCTGATTCACATGCTGAGCATATACAAGGAATCCCAACACCTGAAATATATGAATCGCCAAAGTTGACTGCTGTCCGTCTTAGGAAGAAAGAAACCAGCCAAATCCATCTTTTGGATATAAATTTTCCTCCAAGGATTGTGAAATCTGCTGTAGTTCTGCAGCCTGACAAACAAGAACTTCCAAATACAGGTGAGAATGCTTTAAAGGAGCTTCCTCCAGAAAGCCCATTGAGAGAAGAGGAGCAAATCAAGAACAGACTACATGCAAATCCCAGAGAGGATGCCGATGTTGGCTCGATCGCATCTGTAAATGGGGCCCAGAGCGAGGTCCAGTTTAGTTCATCTCGAGTAGAACGTCCAGAGATGTATAATGGGTACAGCAGTGAGGGGGAGACCATGTACTCTTCCGAGACTGCCGAGAGTCGAAACTACACAAGTCTAAGAGAAGGGAAGTTTCAGCAAGTGGGAAGGAGCCAGAGTTGTGTGGGTTACACAAGATGGGGAGCTGCTCAAAGAAACCCAGCAGCTCGCAGGGCATTGCTGGAGAAGCAGAGGAGCTTTATACATGGAAAGAAGACTTACTCACGACGGCAACTTCTCAAAGAAGTAACGACTACAGCAGCCCTACGGTTTCCTCAATCATGAAGAAACGGAACAACTCAGAGCAGCCGCCAGTCAAACATCGCCCAAGCATCAGTCATTCATCCCCGAGATGGCTGTTTTAATGGTACCAAAATGATGCCAAAAAGCCAACAACAAATATATATACCAAAATGTATTTCATTATTTGCATTCAGTGCAAACTAATATGCTGTGATAATGTGCAGAGTGATTCAATAAAAAGAAAAAGATTCAGCCACCATACCATGTCGTAGTTCTTATCATTGATCCAAGCAGCAACAATGCTAATACAATTGCATTTTCAGGCACAATTTCCTGCCAAGTAACTTTGACAGTATCTTTTTATGCACGGATGAAGGCTTCATTATAACAGCAGTCGTTGCCTCGTAAATCAATGAGCATTGGGATGGGTTATGCTGTTACACGTTTCATTGAATAGGCCCATTAAGAGTGTCAATTAGGGGGACTGATATCCAGTTTAGTGAATTTCCCCTAAATAAATGAATGTTCACATTACCCTTGTGTTAGAGTAAAATTTACTTAAATGTTACACCCCTACCCGGAAGGCTGCATCGAGCAAGAATGGGTCCTTAGTAAATAAAGGTATGATAACAACTTACCAGTCGACTATAACCATTTCGAACCACAAACAATATTAGTTATCATGCAAGTCAAGGAGAGGCATTGGTTACTTATGGTTCAAGGTAGCCTTTCATACTTGGCAAGGATTTTCAAAATTCAAGTGCTGGTAGCGATACCTAGGATTGGGTATCCTCACTAGACATGAAACCGAGTTGGGAAATTCCAAAGATTTTAAGTCATGCCAACAATACCTAAAATAAAGGTATTGGTACTCTCAAAGTGAATGGCAACCTGTCAATTTAAAGTAGTATCAATACCAACCTGTCAATTTATAGTATCAATACCAACCATTTGGGTATCATACTGTATTTAGATTCGGGTTGTGGGGGATAACTATCCAAAAAGATTATCCGCTCAAACAGAGTTTAAAGCTACATGTCAAATGTTCCATATTCAGAGAAGGATTTGCTTAAACAGTGCCTATAGGCATTAGTTAAGGCTTATGTAATTATCAACTCTGATATTTTTCTTCCTTTTTCGGCTAAAAGGCACCAGTTAGCATTTTCCTTAAAAAATCTGTTCCATTGGCATGCCAACTCCGTTCAAGGACAGTCTGAATTGTCCCTGAAATAAAACCACAATCATCATCAGAACATAATTCAAAATAACAAATAATAACAATCCCAAAGCTGCCATATGAAAAGACTAAGGGAAATCATCAAGCTCCGGTATGGTGGTACCACTACAGTGAATAAAATACTCCAGATAATGCCCCCGTTTATGAAAATACAGGGTTGAATCCCAAGCACACGAGAAAGAATATATGCATGTCTTTGACAATGGAGTATTCTTTGTACAAACATAATTGATAATTCACTTTACGAAGCTGTGATTTTATTATCTTTCACTAATGGAAATTCAACCTTAAAATAAAGATATAGAATAGCAACTTACATTACTAGTTGGGCGACACGTAGAGCTCATCTTTAACGGGATGATGGAAGGAAGACCCTAATTAGTTCCTTCATGGTGACCTTTTTCCTGCAAGTTGGACATCTACCCTGCACAGCTAATGCAGCTTTAATGCATTCCTTGCAGAATATGTGCCCACACCTTGTCGACATCTCCTCGGTAAACAAATTCATGCAAATTGGACAACTGAAAGATGGTTCCCTTGGCGGTGGTTGCGGCTTTATAATTTCCTTGACCTGCCAATAGAAAAGTTAACGATACTTGAAACATTCATAAATTCAGTCAAAGTCAACAATGCACCAGTCAATAGAACACATGGATGGACAAAAATAACAAGAGATGTCTTAATCTGATGACCAGCCATAGTCGTACATTCTTTCCTCGAAAATATTAGATTACATCTTTTGAATAATGAACTGATGCAAGAGCTCTTACAATAGACTGTGGTGTGCTTTCCAAATTAATGTAATGATCACAATTGATAACTGTTTGGCTTGGAGGAAGTCTTCTACGTTTGTTCCGATTATTAGTAGTTGACCTAGCCGGCTGCCCTGTAAGGAGAGTAATGTGAGATACCTCAACTTCAGACAAAGAGTAATCTAGGGTTCGAAAGATAAATGAATGAAACAAAGAACCATCATTCTCTAAACTGGTTGAACCGGGCAATCTCATTAGTAACATAAAGATTGGACTTGACCAGAGTGCTGCCAAGCAATAGCTCTATCTTGGTTGAGGTCATATATTTATTCTATTCTAGCGCTTGAGCCATTGGCAAATGATAAACCCCACTTCAAAAGTCGCAAACCAAGAACAAGGGCTAACAGCTATCTGCCAAAACTAGAAATTTGTGTATATACTACTATATCCCCTAAATAAACTAGTACAGACTATAGAGATATCAAATACATTCGTACATTACATGAGTTTACTGCTCATTGGTCACAAATTCTTAATAAATAGCATCCATTCCAAAGTATCTGCAGTTTATTTCAATTTTTAGTGCAATTCACAAAAAAACATAATTTCAATACATCAGCTCCTTATAATCACTTCAAGGTAGATTATGTCACCTAGATTTTCACTTGGATTATGTTGTGTTGGTTAACTGGAGTGTGATTATTTTTGTTTCGAATTTCCCTCCTTCAGAAATTCATCTGCAGAAAAGACAAACAGGTTCCTTCCCTAATCTTGTTAATTATTTGATATTTATGAAACAAGAAAAAATGAACTGATGATTGAATAATACAAAGCACTTGAACAATGAAATTAACAAAGAATATTTTGACCTCATGTAGATAAATAGAATGAATTTACAAGATGGAATGGTGCATCAAAACAAGCTTCTGTCATAACATCCTTCTACTGCAACATGATGGAAATATTGTAAACGTCCTTCCCTCATAAATTAAACTACCTGAATCCACATCAACAACAGTCCTTCTGCTCCTCCTTGAATTATTTTTAGCCTGACATAAAATCCCAAGACAATTAGTAACACTCATGATTGAAATGAATCCATAAAGAACATATTTCACATACAGTTAAAGGGAAGAAAAAAAATTATTGAACAAGAGAAGCAAACCTCTGCAAATGCTGTAGCAGAAGATTCAATAACATCATCTTCAATAGCTTCAACATCAATGGCATCAGGTGGTACAGGCTCTATGGGATGGCCGGTCACTTCCTCGAGGTGAGCCTGTTGTGAACTACCCCCCTGTTCACTAATATCACAGGGTGGAGAATTTAGATCCAGCACCATCTTCCTTTGACGATACCCTCTAAGAGGAGTGCCTCTCGTTTCGATAGTGTTCATGTCCATTTATAATTTTCTACGCCCTTCCTAAAAACCACAGCCTCAACAAAATCTAAAAGGCAGCTAAAAAAAACAACTTTCTCAGATCAGTTCACCATATATATAATATCAAATTTTCACTAAACACATACCAGTTCAATATGGATAGTAACACCTCCAAGGTGAATGAGAGATATTTAGCAAATATATATATATAAACAAAGTTTCTATCAAATATATATATATATATAAACAAAGCTAGCTACCCACAAACGAGTTGCAACTATTGATTTAATCTTTCCAGTTGGATTTTATTTATTAAAAAAGAAATTATGAAAAATTAAAGGATAATGAACAACCACTTGACACGAAATCATTATTCTAGAAAGGGAATAAATTTAATCAAAATCCATACTCGAACGACAGGCCCAAAAGAAAAGCTATTAAGTATAATAAACTAATAATCGAATAACAAGTTAAAATTTAAGAAAATTTATCGAATAGGCCAATGTATCCTTTAAAAACTCCCGAAATAGAAGGAATATGAATCAACAGCAACACCGATCCTTGAATGAAAGCGAATTGAAATAAGAAAACAAACTGATAAGAGAATTAAAGAGAGTTGAGAGATCAAAATCTTGCCTTGAAACCCTGGGCTAAATCCAATAGCCTTCAGAATTTTCCAGACAAAACAGAGAATCGAAGAAAACAAGCGACGCCCAGAAACCTTCTGAAAGACTTCCCTGTTAAGGGGTTTTAAAGAAGTAAATTTGAGTGTGACCACGCACAAATAGTGGTGCCATGGGGTTTTGAGTTATGAACTTAAATTATTGGGTAAACTCAATGTATTGTCACAAAACTGTAGGAATGGTTTTATTTTGATCACTAAATTAAAAATATTATCAATCACGTCATTTAAATGTTCAAAATAGTATTATTAAAACAAGAATCAGATAGTTATTATCCCTTTAAATTTTAAATTGAACACTATAGTCTATATTTATACGGGCTTATGAGTGTTTATTAATAGAAATACCAATATGATAATGAAAAATTTTATATACGTAAGACTAAGATTAATTATCATTATAAATTTTACAAAATATCAGATGTGACTTACAAGTGAGAAAATAATTAAAATATTAATATAAAAATACATGAAAATTCAAGATTTATATATAAAGCAAATATAAATCGGAGTTCAAAATCTTGAATAGCTCTATCTAAACTTCCTTGTGGACCTTGTGTCTCGATCACTTACGACCGAGTCAAGAATACCCAATACTTCATTATGTGTTTGAAGAATAGCCTTATTGCATCCTCAACATTATACTTCTTTGGCACATAAATGAACACTCCATACTTACTAAATCGATGATTGATCGACTATCACTAAAATATCGTTGCATCCATCTACCATTGGCAATCCAATAATGAAGTACATAGAGACACTTTCCCAAGCTCTCTCAGAAATTGGTAAGGGTTCGAGTAATCTAACTAGGGTTCGATTATTTTTCCTCTGGACTTTTGGCTTAAGGATTCTTCCTCTTGTCTGGCTTGTATTCCTCCTTGAAGTCATTCAACTAAAAAGTGTTGTCATATTGCTTACTTCGAAGAGAGCTTCCTCTAATCTTGAAAGTAGCTAATGGTCACGCTATTAGTTTTTACCACAAAACTTGAATCTCAACAAGTAATGTTTCCAAGTTCGTAAGTAATATACTATGATAGTCATCTCCTTTTCTTGCATAGTATACCACCACTTTTGCATCAATACTCCCCATATGACAGTCAGAAGCATCACTGTGCACTTAAAATTTTATGTGCGATCAAGAAGTGCCGACACCGATTCCTTCATCACAGCTTGCTTTAAAGCCTCGAAAACTTGACATTTCTCATTTCAATCTTACACTGGATTTTTCTTCAACAAATCAGTTAAGGGTGTGACAATCATGGAATAGCCATAAATGAATCTCTGATAATAGTTTACCAATCGAAGGAATAATCATAACTCATGAACTTTCCTGGGTGGTTCACATTCTAGAATGACTCGAATCATAACCTCATCCATACGCAACTTTTATTGGCCTACAATGTGCCATAAGAATGTTACCTTTTGTCGAGCAAAGGGACACTTTTCCTTTTTCACATAATACTTATTTTCCTTTAACATTTGGAAAACTTACCTTAAGTGATCATCATTCTTTTTCAAAGTGTTATTATACACCATAATATCATCTAAGTACATTATAACAAAGCGGTCTAAAAAAAGTTGGAACACTTTGTTCATAAGTGTACATAAAGTTGAAAGAAATATAACGTTAACTAATGGAGAACAAGGTTGTATTACATCATTCTCACCCTATACAAATTATACCCACCACCGTCAAATACTTCTAATTTTAATCTAGATTGGGTTACCCATTAATGTTTGTTACATCAACGTTATCGTTGTCGACCCTTTCTTCTCACGACAAACTCTTTGTTTCCGTTTGAACCTTCTTCAAAGCCCTTGCCATTTTAACGAGGTACTTTCTCCGAAGTTTGCAAAGCTTAGAGTCGACATTTTCACTATTGATTATAAATTCAAGATATTATCCAACATGGACTTGGAACTATGCGTGCAATGTTGGACCGAGGATATTACTACCAAGCCTTGCAATTACATTGTATATGTTTATGGCACTAAAACTCATAAGCGACCATGTAACACCCTAAACCAGTACGACACACAGTTGACCGATCAGAGTGCTACACGGAACCACCGAGGTGATTGACCAAATATTTTTCTTACTTTCTCTGATTTTAAAGCGGCCATTTTAATAATAAAAACACCATAAAATATAACTTAAACTTTACATTAAAAATAATACAGACCAACTCTTAAATACAGTTACGACTCAACTTTACAACAGGGTTTACAAATATACATGCTCTTTCAAAATCTTGAGACGTACTCTGATATGCTTTGGTCTAGACCTTGGTCACTCTAAAGCTCTTCATCTGCTCCACCTAATCAGTGTAAGGAAACAAATTTCAAACGCTGAGCTAACTAGCTCAGTGCCACACTAAGAACTAGATCATACTAAAAGTGCATCACTGAAAGACTCAAGCTATCAATTCTATTGCTTTGCTTTAGTGAGTATATTTGTATACTCACTCTCTACTCTATGGTAGACATCATGATGCAGCTGAGCATTCTGCATCTCGGAGCTCACACACCCCTCTAGTCTACCGAGGAAAAGGCCCCCAGAATCTCTACATCAGACACCACACCCTCGACTAACCCACCCCTTACGAGTGTCAGGCCTTGGCCTTTGTTAGTTAGCTTAAAGTGCCTTGCGCACTCTCTAAGGATATCCGGATTGAATCTATACTTTCGACACTGCTAGCTTCTCTAAAGGAACTTGGGTGACTTGGGTCGTTTCCTAAGCATTCATACAAGGCTAATCTTATTTCATCATACTTTATCTCGTTTCTATGTTTGAATTAATCATTAATATATTCTCACTTGTAGTCTTATTTGGGAGTAATTATAAGCTTTTGGGAAACCCCACTTGATTCTATAATTCCCCTTGAATTACAAGCCCAATTCTAAATCTCGATATCGATACTTACCTTACAATATCGATACCCTCTCCTCAGTATCAATACCCAACCCCAGGTATCTATACCTCAGCTGAAATACCTTGAAAAAAAAGAGGAAGTATCGATACTCATATGGGAGTATTGATATTGGACCTTGGGTATCGATTCTCTTTAGAGTACCGATACCAAAATGGCATTCTAGAATCTCAGTCTCGATCCAGAACAACTGGTATGAGGAAGCTGTGAGTGTTACCTGATTGCCTTGGCTGCTAAAACCTCTCCAAATCAACTAGGGGTCACATTTTTTTTACCTCTAGCCTTTGAACGTTCAACCACTTCCTTAGCTAAACAAATGCAAGAAAAGGGGTTTACTAGCTTATATAAGACTTAAAACAAGGTTAAAGATACTTCAAACAACTGAAATTTACTAGAATAAACATGAATCCTTTGATTCCCTTAACCTTTCTTAAAAACACATTTTGAAAACTTAACCAAAACCTAAGATTTAGGGCTTGAAATGAAACTTAAGGAATGAGATTAAAACACTTACCTTAATTACTTATAACTAAGCTTGGAATTTGAAAAGCTTCCACATTTAAGCTTTCTCTTGGGAAGGAAAGGGGAGAGAGAGAAAGAAGATATTTTGGGTTTTAGTTTTCATGTGTAAACACTTAAGGTTAAGGGGGGGTTTATCCTTTAAAACTGGCTATGGGTAAATTGCTAATTTGGTCACTTTCCTTTTAAATCCATACTAAAGCCATCATTTACCCTTCTTTTGGGCCTACTGAAGCCCAAAACCCTTAAGAACTGGTCTAGGAAATTTAATGGGCTCAAATTATGGGTTTTGGGTTGACCCGGGGAATTACAGACCAGGAGACCTTGATGACCAAAGCTTTGGCGGAATCAAGGGGGAGTTTGAAAACAATAATTATGGCCTTAATCTCATTAAATCCTAAATGTTAATATCTAAATCTCTAAATTCTTAAATTTCAAGACCTAAATCTCTAAATTTTAATCAAATTTATCTTTTCAAGTTTTATCGATGTTGCATGTCGTCATGTGGCCCATTACACTTGTATTATTCTCCACTTTAATTCATACCATGACCATTACTGACTAAACTTTACTTTGCCTTCACTTAGGAAATATCATAACATTCACTAAGATATGATAGATATTAAGGAATTTTAGGGATTAGGACAATGATGAGTGGGTCGCAATAGGTGGACGGTCGTTTAGTGACGACGGTGGCAATGTCCATTGATAGTAATAAGGGCTTAGAATTAAACTTTTTAGGGGTTTGAGTTTTTTTCCCGAGAGAGAGAGAGAAAGAGAAAGAGATTTGAGGTTTTTGAAATAAGAATTTTATTTTTTTAAATAAATATTTTTAAAAAATTATAACCACGATATGTCACATTTTGAGTGGTTTTTTTTTTAATGATCATGATGAATCTAACTCTTAAAATGATCATGAAAAAATGTTAAATATCTATCTTAACCTAAAGACTTTAAGAATTTAAAATGAATAAAAAATAATTTAAACATTAATTTTTCTAGTTAAGTGATTAAAATTAAATTAATTTTGAACCATAAAATATACACTAAGGGTGCGTTTGGTTCACGGAATGTAAGATTACCAGTGGGAATAAAAGATTACCAGGGAATAGGATTACTGGGAATGTTGTATTTTGTGTTTGGTTGGTTTAGCAGGAATGTAAGATTACCGTGTTTGGTTAAAGGAATAAAATATTATTTGAATGTATATTTGACCAAATTGTCCTTATTATATATTTGTATAATATTACAAATTGTAAAATATTTATATATTTTCTTTAAAAAATTAAATTCATAATATTTATATAATATTTTTTACAAAATTAAAAATATAAAAAAAGTTTAATGAAAGGGTAATTTTTTAACAACTGAACTTCATATAAAATTTTAATTTTTGTAAATCTAAAATAATTTAAGGATAAATTTGTAATTTAAACTTCGTAGAATTTTTATTATTCAATGACAGAAGAAGGATATTTTTGGAAAAAAAATAAAAATTTAAGGGCATTTTAGTCCAAAACGCCGGTAATGTTACAATACCTAAGGGAAGGGAGGTAATGACATTCCTGGTAATATACCCCAAAAAATCTACTATTGGTAATAAAACATTACCGGGAATGAGATTCCCGG